CTTCTAGAAACAAAGGAGCTTTTAGGAGCATATTACAAATTTCAGCTTTTATTTCTTTATTGAGGACTGTGCAGCTATTTACATGGCTGCTGGTTTATATCATGCTTTACAGCACATTTGGGCAAATTTCGATGATCTTCCATTATCATTATTTTTAGAGCATTCAAAACTATAGCTATAGCATTTGTATGAATTAATGTTGTTTTTGTCACTACAGACTTTGGAGAAAGACACTTGCCTAAAACCAACTCTCCCCATCTGCGTAACGCCCATTCCATGATGTTGAGGTATCCTCCTACTTCTGGTTATTAGGCTACTGCGCCTTTTCAGCAATGCTGAAGAAAGCCTGAGACCTCTTGTGGCCGAAAAACTTACTTTTTTACTGCTTAGACTAAGGGTGTCACCATACAACCTTTTCATTTCCAATAAGATAAAGCAACTTTGAGAATTGGCTAATACCAATGTACACCCGATACGATACTAGTATAAATCATACTAGGTTTTATTACTCATGTTATGCAGCAGAATTTTAGAAAAAAAGGCTTGATCAAGTTATATCACTAAAATGGGGAACAAAAGTCAACAACAAAAGTTAAGAAAACAATTGACCCCAATAAAATTAACTAATTGGATAGAGAAAACTCTTAACGGAAGCAAAGTGTTTCTATCAGCATGAAAATATTGGAGATTTTAGATTCAGGCCGTTAAAATCGGATATTTCGAACTGATATCCAATATTAATATTGCATCAGGACATCCCTAATTTGCACCATGGTGCTTATGACGTAATAGAATTGCCTGCACATATAATATATATATAACGGGTACATTTCTTCATGCCATTCCTCGAATCTTAAAAAAGGTGACATCAGGTGAGATCTAAAAGTTTATGTTTCCTAATGTTGTTTTTTTTTTTCTGTAATTACTCTACAAGAAATTATTTATTCACACATACAAATTCAGGATCTGAAGCTGGGAACAGAATTCATGAATAAAGAGAAAAACATTTTGAAAACACTTGCAACAGCTCAATAGAGTAAATGTATTTGCATCAAATAATTAAGAAACCAGACTGACACTAATTAAATAATCATTTGTGCCTGGCTACACTCTTTCCATTCCCATTCCCAAAGCAATGCATGCTCGGGAAAGACATGCAAACTCCACAAACTCCAAGGGGAACCCATTATAGTCACACCTGCTTTGATTCCTTGCAAGAGAAGCCTGTTCAGAGCTGCATGGATATTCTGTATTCTAATATTTTGAAATTCTAAAGATAATCTGCAAATAAACTGTATGTATCACAACTTTTTCACACAGTATGTTGTTTCTAATAGGTTAATATGCTGGAAAAGAGCAAAAGTTGTCCCTATGATCATAAAGGTATTAAGGGAAAATGCAACATGATAAACTATATGTCATACACAGCAGGAGGAGGCTGCAGTCAGGGAGAAGTGTTCTATTTTCTTCTTTTATATTAGTTTTGAACATGAGCACCTATAAAAAGGAAAAAAAAGTCTCAGCATGTGGACCGATCACATAGCCTTATCTCTGTTTATTTCACTGATTGTACAGAGAGATCATATATTTATTTTATGTAATGATTCTTGAGAGCAGATGTGTTAAATTCTTTAATACTAATTTACTTACAGGATATATATCTGTCAGATAAATATCTTGGCTGTAGATTTGATAGAAAACTTTGAGTAGAAGAGCAAAGTTTGATAGCAAATAATGGATGCAAACTTTCCATGACCTATATTCCTTGTAAGCATGTGACTAAACACTGGTTTTTCCCTCGGTTAGGTCACCAGTCAGAAGCCAAATGATTTTTTTCACATTTGCAATCAAAACCTACAGAAGAGGATTAGGGCCACTGAAAAAAAAAATAAAGTTAAATGATTTTTTTTATTTTATTTCAGTATAGCATGGGAAAAAAGTCAGAATTCTGACTTTAATCTCAGAATTCTGACTTTTTTATTGTCAGAATTCTGACTGAATTCTGAGATTAAAGTCAGAATTCTGAGAAAAAAGTCAGAATTCTGAGATTAAAGTCAGAATTCTGAGAAAAAAGTCAGAATTCTGAGATTAAAGTCAGAATTCTGAGAAAAAAGTGAAATAAAATTAAAAAATCAGTTTACTTTTTTTTTTTTTCAGTGGCCCTAATCCTCTTCCGTAAAAACCACCTCTGGGTTAGTAGGAAGCCTTTTACCATTTATGCCACACTTAGCTCATGCATTTCACCTCTTGTAATTTCTACCATGCATTAAATGGATGTAGCTCCATAATTCCACAGGAAGTTGTTCAATATGAAACATTTAGCATAGACCCTAATTATAGCCTGTTAGCAAACAGCATGTGAAAGACGAGAATGTGTAACATGTAAGACCTTACTGCAGTCGCTGATTTTTATATTGTGATTTTAATTGAACAAATAAAAATGATGAGTTTTTTTGATCTAAGAATATCTGGACAGATTTTTGGCAGTTTGAATTGACATAGATATCAAAGTTTAATCTAAGTATGTCTCTTATAATTTACTCCAGATGTTATAATGCATCTGCATGTTTTTTTGGTAATATCATTTCATTTTTTGACCGTTTCATCATTTTTAACAAATGCCATCAGCTGTCTCTTAGTTTATTATTAGTTAAAAATGTGCTAAACCTAGTGAATTCTACAATAAGATATATATATCTGACTGTCTGAAATAGACTTTTTGCATTATATTGTGAAAGTCTAAGTAAAATTATTGCAAATCACATGTATCTTTGTTGTGGAGCATTTTTATTGACTATGGCAATAAATAATCATAAACAGTGGTGTAATCTTCCAAAAACCTTAAATTAATTATCTTATATTCTGTAAATTGTGTATAACATCGTATTTTAATTGACTCTAATTGTGGTCCCGTTTAGGTGACTTTTCTATGCTGATATAAGGAACATTGGAGATGACCCTTCCTGTTGTGATTTATTGGAATCAAAAAAGCAGATTAAATAGAGAAATTACTTGAATAACATGCCCTTGTGGGTAGTAATTGCTGCAAGGCCAAATCATCCTTTCCATTGTTAAAAAGGCAGACACAAAACAACCTACAAAGGTATGACAGGTTTAATAACCTGCATTTAGAATGTAGTAGTTAAGAAAAACATTTTAGTTGTTATTCAGGGAAATTATAAAAATGAATCAACACCTATTTGCCTCTGAGCTAATAGTTAAAAAAACAAGGTGAGGGTCTGGGTAGCGTTATTTAGAAAGTATCATGCCATGTTATTGTCAGGAATCCAGTTTGTGTGGTCTGTTTTGTGTTTCCTTTTAAAAGCATCATGGCAATTATATCATATTATATGTCTGAACTTACAGAGATTAAAGCACAGGGTACAGTAGATAATGCAGATCTTGGTCTGCTGTGTTGCAGGGGCTTTCCCCCATTGAAAACTGCCTCTCTCTGTCGTTTGTGCTGAGAGGAAGAAGACTGTTTAGCTCCGTCAGCACAGCAGCTCATGTCCCGTGTCCCTCCCAAGGTGACTTCTCTGTTGTTGGCAGCCAGAGCCATGAAAACAATTCGCTGGAGTCTGTCTTTGCTTCTCCCTCCATATATTTGTTATCATTTAGATGCCACCTGGAAATTGTCCATTATATCTTTTTGTTTTCATTAATTTCCTCTTTATCCACATTTACATAATCATTTTTCCAGGAAGCCAGCCCACCAGATAAAACCAGAGAAAGGCTGCATTCATTAAAAATATCTCTTCAGTGCCTTTTGGCCTTGTCTACTGTGAGATTTGTCTTGGATAAGTTCCAACACATGAACACCTGACCTTTTCCTCTTCCAGTTCTAGTAGTGGAGATTGCTCACCTACTCAGCAGCACACAGACATCCCACACAATCTCTCATGCAGGCAGGGAAACAGACTTTGCAAGCAGCTGTCTTTAAATTGGAGTCAAAGATTGGAGCTTGAAACCTCAGCATTATCATTCGTCATTTACAAAGAATAACTTGGGGTGGAAACTACAGGTATGTTATCACTAGTGCATTAAATAGGCCATTGTCCCATGTCTACAGTAGGTCATCTATTTTGGTCCAGGTTAAGTCTCTGCACGGGAGTAGGTGTGCCAGTTTCCTCTCTCTGTGTGTCTTCCTCTCTCCCTCTCTGAAAATTGGTTAAGAGGATTCATCTTGCTGCTGCACGTAAGCATGGACTGCCACCACAAAAACACACAGACAGATTGGTCTTGACAACACACAGACCCAAACACATTTTTCATTGTCCCTGAAGCGAGTGCATCAGTAAAACTGACTAAATTAATACATCTGAAACATGTCAAACCCCTACTTTAGTTATGGAAAGCTTGAATTTGAGGTTCTGCCTTTAAAGAACCCCATAAAGTTTAATAAGCTTGTATATATATAAATATATATATATATATATATATATATATATATATATATATATATATATATATATATATATATATATATATATATATATATATATATATACACGGTATATATATATATATATATATATATATATATATACGGTATATATATATATATATATATATATATATATATATATATATATATATATATATATATATATATATATATATATATATATATATATATATATATATACGGTATATATATATATATATATACATAACTAGCAATGTTAACTAGATCACCTGACTGTCAGTTGATTTTTTTCATAGAAAAAGAGAGAAACAGAACTTAAAGCTAGATCATAGCATCTTATTTCTCTTCTTTCCAGGCCTGGTATTGAAATGCATGTACAAAAAATTTTACTTGGAAAAAACTGATCCAGACAGCATCATTAAAGCAGCAACAGCAATGTGGATCAACTTTAATAACACTTAAAAACATCCTCCTAGTCATCTTCAGGCAAAACCACAGGCCTAAAAATAAAATATATGAATTAAATGTCTCAGAGATAAAGTGAAACTTACTTGAGGGGCTGAAGTATCCTTACCTTTGTGACAGTCATGCAGAATCAGTTGGTGAGGAGCAGGCCAACGTCCCCTTCCAGCAAAGAGCAGCGCCGCAGGAGTGGCACAGTGATGATGAGGAGAGGAGGGCAGCTCTGCTGAATATGCAGAGAGGAGAGCAGAGAGAGGAGGGGGCAGTCAGGTTAGTGTGTCTGGCTCATTCAGTACAAGGGGCTGACTCCTGCTGCAGTGAAGTAATGGCTGGCAGTCGGCTTGCGGCTGGTTACTACGAGAGGGAAAAGCTCCAAGCAAGGATACACCCCTCCTCCCTCACCAACTGCTCACTCACTAACACACCCACACAGAAATGATGCAGGCAAAGTCTGCCTGCCTGCTACTCTCAGCTCCCTTGCTCTCTGCCACTCACAGTATGATTAGTGATGGGCTTATCGATGAGGAGGAGTGGGGAAGGACTGCAGGAGGAGGTGGGAGCAGGGCTGCTTGGGACGGGAAACAGACTGCAGAAACAGAGATGGAGGGAGGGAGTTGGATGCTGTGTCGCAGTCTGCCACCCAGGCATGTCACATGGTGGAAATGAATGTGAAGAGTTCCACAAGCAAAAAGAAAGCATAAACAGCGTCAATTAATCTTTGCATTAGATCCAGTTTGTGTAGCATGAGGCAGTAGCACATAAAAACTAGGAGGTTGCTAAATAACAACAATAAATAACAACAAACACATTTTCTTTGTACTGTTCATGGATGGGATGTAGAGAGCTATTCATAAAAAAGAGGATGTTGGGTTTGGAAAACTCTGTATCCCATCTTTGGTTTTTCCTTTGAGCCGTGAGGTTCAGTGTAAAATGGAAAGTTTTGCAGCATGGATGAGAATCAGATCATTTAGGTCTGAGCTAATGTCTGGTGCAATGGTCCTCAAGTGGAAATTGAGGCACTTATCTATCCTTGATGGTCAGATAGAGCGGATGATGACACAGATGGATGAGGTCCTTGTCTGTGGTTATAAAGTCACCTATTCTTGGTAAAAAAAACAAAAAAACAGCTAAGCTATAAAATTATTTGCCCATCAAATGGCAATGGCTGGATGTTTAATAGCTGCTATTAAACTTTACTAGAAATTAAATGCAACTATACCAATGAAAAAATATATATTTTAACTCTTAAAGTTCGAACAGCATCCTGTTTTGTATTTCTTTTGGACAAGAACAGGAAATCAGGATAGTAACAAAAAAGCAAACACCTACTCTGGTAGAGTAACACATCTTTATCATACTGTCTGAAAAAGGGCACTAGAGACAAGCCAAGATTCCTACTCCGTTTCCATGGCTCATCCTCCCACAGCTTTTTATTGTGCCTGCAGCCTACAATGCTGGCTTTGTTTTTTGTTGCAATAAAAGTTCTTAAAAGCTTATGTGTAAATGCTTGATACTAAGCAACCAAACTCAGCAACATTACTAGATGTCAGTGCATTCTTATTCTTCTTTATTTCTACCACGTACACTTATATTGTTATTTGGTGGTGTATTTTCATTTGAGGCCCCATTTACAGCATTTCCTGTTTAAAACAATAGAATTTCCTGCGTCTGTGTGTAATTCATGGATAAAGGCAGGACGACTCTAAACTGCATGAGACAGTAACGAAAAAAGCATTTATCATGAGGTGGAGTGAGGTAGAAACTCTTGATTGCTTATTTTTCATTCAACCTGAAATAAGCAATTTATCAAATATATATTTTTTATATTTCAAATTAGATTTAGGGTTTTTGTCATTTTATTTATTTAAAATGGTAATTTATGAGACAGGACTGGTCTTTTAATGTGGTGTGAAATCTGCACATTGTGACATTGCAGGAAAATAATTGTGTCCAAGTCTTTCATATATTTCACCATAATTCCAGTTCACACCTTTTAAAAGGTGTGGAAGGAAAATACATAATCTGCAGGGATGTGGTGGAAAACTTGGGGACATGCGCAGCTGCAGAAGACACTAAGTCTCACTTGTTCCATAACATGCAAGGTTCTGTTATGACATGAGAAATAAATGGATTTGTATGCAAAATGAAACAGAGCATTATTAAACAGCATGACTATTTAATTTACAGGAATTATATGCACTGTCTGTTTCAAATTTAGATTTTTCATTTTCCTTCTTTTTTGTTTTGACCATCTGGCAACTTTGGACCAAACTCAGCTCATTTGTACGGCTTTGCTGCCACCTACTGATATTATTATGTAATTGCCTCCAAGGGTGTTCCTTATACATGACAATTATTGAAATGAACAAACTGAAGAATGAATTAAATAAGCAGAAAGGGGTAATAAAACGCCAACAATATATATTACTTTTTTTTTTTTACCTTAAGATTTACTTACATATCTTACAGGGAAAATAGTTTATTTAAATTGCTCCTAAAAAAGTTCAATGTTGTAAAAAAAAAACACATATTAACATGCATATAGTTCAAACCTAAAAACCTGAGTTGAAAATAGTTTGTATGTGTCTTCTGTAAGAGCATGTTATATGATGTATGTCCCATCGAATTTCCAAACAAACTGGTGATTTGGTACAATGGTAATTTTCTGGGTAAAAACACCAAATATTAAAGAGTAAAACAGAAGAATTTTGATCCATGCACATTGGAGAATTAGTATTGAATTCTAGTTTAGAGTCAATCCTCAGAGTCTCAGTTCAGTTCAGACTTTCATAACGCTACTCCAAAAAAAAAAGAGGTTCTTTCTGTAATTCTCCTGTTGTAGGACTTATGTAGGCAAGAGTTGGAGGCTAAAAACTGATGTTCAGATATTATGTTTTAGGATTTTCTGTTAAAGCTGAATTCGCGGTCCCCTTAATTACATCAAGTCCACAAGGCTGCACAATGCTCCTTGTATCAAATACTGTATAAACTACATGCCTGATGAAATCTGATGCACTTCTTAAAAAAAGTTACATTTTTGTACTTTTAACACAAAATCTTCCCAAAACTCTTTTGACTGTCAACGAGTAAATAGAAAATATTGTGTGTTCTGCACTGGTTTGGTTGAAATGATGTGGGCCTCTTATGTTGTCCTGGGTTCTTTTGTGACCTCTTAGATGAGTTGTTGATGCACTGGAGTAGTAATAATACTGCTAAGAAGGATCACCGTCATGTCATATCTGACCAGTTTGCACTGTGGTTTTATGCAGGGTCATTTGGGTTTGTAAACTTTTCAAGAGTGTTTGAAAGGTGTTTTCCATCCATTGTTGTGTTTCTGTATGTCAGGGCAAAGAACTTTACATATATATATATATATATATATATTTTTTTTTTTCATACAGGGTCTAACTCCTGATGTCAGGAGTTTTATTGTGCGTCCCATAATTCTCTCTCTGAGCCTTTTGTCACGATTCTGTCTCATCAATTTGCACTTTTTGGTACTGTTTAAGTTTTCTTTTTTAATTTTCAGTTTCACTTTTAATCGTTTTTTTCTGTATTTCTAATTTTATTGGTTTAATTCCCATTTTGTTGTGTTTTCTGGATGTATTTGAGTTCTTATGTATTTCTTGTTTGCCCTCTGTTGCCCTGTTGTGTCAGTCTCATTCCCCTATCTCCCTTCTTGATTCCTCTTTCCACACCTGCTCCCAATCTGCTGATTAGCCCGGTCTCTGTTTGTATCTCCCATGTATACACCCCCTTTTCAGTCACTGTTAGCTGGTTCCTTGTTGTTTCTTGGCTCCTTGTGTGTGTGTTTTCCCTGATATCGCTCTGTATTTTTGGAGTTTTGCTTCAGTTGTCACCTGTTATTAAATCTGCTAGAAACCACCTCAGCTTCCGGTTCTGCATTTGGGTTCTCTTCAAACCTTCACTCAGTCTGATACCTTTTCACGTTGAACACAAAACTCTACAGCCAAAACTTTTAATAAAACAAAACAAAAAAGACTACTGATAACTTTACTATAACTTAGTAAAACTTGGATGAATGGATGCTTGGACCTTAAATAATTTAGGATGATGAAAAATTCTGCATGTGTAAAATCCTTTTTCTTAGCTCAGTTTTGATCTTGAAATGACCAAGATTCCCAATTGAAAAGCTAAAGTAAAACATTTTTGAAAGATGTATACATTTTGTGCAATGGTAAAATTGTTTTATAAATTTTTTTAATACTCTCACCCACATGTAACTCATTTAATTTTCAGGTCTCCCGGGTATAAGATCAGCAACATCCCCAGCCTGTGCCAGATTGTCCATCTGTGGTTTTGTTAATCCTGGACTTGCTGCTATTTGCTTTGGCTCCTATTTAATGGGCTATGGAAATACTTACAGTAGATTCAAAAGTGACTGCTAACTTCACTTATTTCTATGTAAATTTTGCATAGAGAGGAACAAACTTTTTTCTAACTTCCTTACTATTGGCTTATATCCTCAAATCCATTAAGGAATTGCACACTGTACAACCCTCCTCAGAGGTTTAACTGCTGCTAATAAGATCTCAGGGCATTCTATGTCTACAGTATGATCAGGGATGATATTTGTCTAATAATTGCAATACAAAAGCTTACTGCCACTATTGCATAGCTAACCTCGGCAACAGGTGCAGAGAGGGGATAAGGATGTATTTCAAGGAGGACAGTATGGACTTTTAAATAGATGAGCCAAATCCAGGATCTGCATAAAAATGATAAAAAAAAAATGGTTGCTGGAATAACTTTATATACTTCATAAGCAAACTCACCTTTTGTTAATCATTTAGCCTCACAAGACAAAATATTTAAGCCAGTGTTAATAGTGTATTTCTATGAGCAGGAGATGTAGTTCTACTAAAGGTATAAATAGTAGATCCTTCTATTTCTAATGATCTGCTTTTCTGGCCTGCAGACAACAGAGGTAGAGAGAGATGCAAATATGTTGTGAAAAGAAGATGACCATTTACATGAAAGGTGCATTGTCAGGCCATGATGCACATCCACACAATTTATGCTGTGCTTTCTAACCAGTTTAACCACCAGAATGGCCAAGTTTCATCCAACTCTCTGACATTAGGCAACCACATGCATGATTTACCCTCACAGAAACTGTTGCACTCATGGAACATTTAATATAGGGGGGCTCAAATTTCAGCTTCCCTCTGCACAGATCAGTGTTCCAGCCACTCGTAGGCTGGATGAAAACCACTTCCTCCAAGTGAGAAAAGGTAGAGAAATGAAGCTGAGGAGAGCACACAGAGGAAAAACTGTACCTCGACTAGCAGAGATGGTAATGAAGGTCCACACAAAGAGGAAATTGGAAATAAGAGTTATTGTGGGTCAAATAAATGGTTGTGGTCCCTTCATTTAAAGCAGAAAGTGTCCCTTTGGGATGCATTGTACAGCTATGAGTAAACATTTCCACTACCACTTCAATCAGTGCACGAATGTATCGCTCA